CCAGCCCGCCCCGTGCTGCCGCCCTCTCCCTTCCCCGAGGATGCTCCCAGCATCGTGGTCCCGGATCCCTGCCCGGAGAGCACCGGGCATCATTCCCCCAGATCCCTGCCCAGAGACCACCGGGCATCATCCCCTTGGATCCCTGCCCAGAGACCACCGGGCATCATCTGCCCCAGATCCCTGCCCGGAGAGCACCGGGCATCATCCCCCCGGATCCCTGCCTGGAGAGCACAGGGCATCATCTGCCCCAGATCCCTGCCCGGAGAGCACCGGGCATCATCTGCCCCGGATCCCTGCCCGGAGACCACTGGGCATCATTCCCCCCTGGATGCCTGCCCGGAGAGCACCGGGCATCATCCCCTTGGATCTCTGCCTGGGGACCACCGGGCATCATTCCCCCAGATCCCTGCCCGGAGAGCACCGGGCATCATCCCCCCGGATCCCTGCCTGGAGAGCACAGGGCATCATCCCCTTGGATCCCTGCCTGGAGACAACAAGGCATCACCCTCCCGGTTCCCTACCCGGAGATCACCGGGCATAACCCCAGATCCCTCCCCAGATGGGGCGACAGGTCCTGGGGACACCAGGGTGCAGTGGGCACCGCGCACAGGTTTTTGCTCATGCTCGCAGTGGACACCGCGTGGAAAACAACACCTGGTTGTTCCTTCCTCCCCAAATTTCTCTCCTCTCCCCAACATGCAGCTCCCCAGATGGGTGCCAATGGAGTGGGTGAAGAAGGATGTTCGTCCCCTTGTGTGCAACATGGGCTCTGGTGGGCGGCCTCAGCGTGAGTGGGCACCCGCCAAACCTCACCGAAGTGCAGCACACTGGCATGGAGCAGAACGGCATCACCGGCACCCATCACTCCCCCGGGGAGGGCAACCCCATGAGTATTTTTGGAGGTGCCTGCCTTCAGCTATCGCACCTGACTCCCAGCCAGGGACCGTCACTGTCAGCCCAGGCAGCCGGCTGCAGAGCGGCTGGGGTCCGGCTGTGCACCCTGTGGTTATCCGGCGCTGGGGTGGGACAGGGATGGCGACACCCCTGGGTGCCCAGGATGAGAACAAGTAAATGCCTGTGCTGAGATGCTTCACCTTTGCAAGACATTCCGTGTCACAAACCTACCACAGCACCCTCACCCTTGTTTAAAGATGAGGAAAACTCAGGCTTGTGGGATGCTGCTTCCAAAACCACGCTCCCTTCTTAGCCGACAGCTCCGGCAGCGTTAGGCATGTTGTGTGGTGATCGACCACCGTGGGCTGGGGCTGTAAAGGTGCAGCGGGTGACAGTGACCTTGTATGTGGCCTCGTGCCAGGGATTGTGTGGTTGTTCATAGTGCTCTGGTATAGCTACGGCATAAAACCCACTCGGATCCCGGCTACACAGCCGTGTGTGTGTGTGCAGCACCTGCAAGAATTAAATTCAGCTTCCCAAATCAATACAAAATTTCCCAAATTTTGGATGTTTGCTCAGGAGCTGCTCTGGATGGGGCTCAAGCTCCCCACCAGGCTCGATGCCGAGGATGCCGGCTCAGCTCTGCACCGCAAACTGGCCAGGGCTGCCGCATTCGGCGAGCCAACCGTGCTGCTGTGCACGGAGTGGGGACGTCGGGCCACAAACCATGCACTTAGCCTGCAAACAGGCTACTACTAAAATACCCACCAGCCCTGGTGTTAGCATTCCTCCTCCTCCCGCCGCAAGAGAGTGGTCAGGGCAATATTGCTCATTGCAGGCATCCGACTCCATCAAATAAAGAAAGAACTTATTTTCCACCACCCTGAAATTCCCAGTTCTCCCTCAGTCTCTGTCTACACACAGAGCTTTCAAGCCATGGCAGAAATCTTCCAAGAGAAATATGGTTAAAGATGGGCCTTGGCAGGAAAAGGCTAATGTCGCTTGAAAAATGTGTGC